ACCCAACCCAATAAACAGCAACAAACAAAATCCCCCCAAAATTCCAATAGTAACCACCTATTGGCGTCAACTCTATTCTGATTTGTAATGACCCTCCATTGAGTTCTCAAAACGGTAAATTTTTACAGGAGGAAATTGTCTTCTCTTGCGCCCTACAAATGATTTTTAACCATTAACCACCTTTCAACCTTTAGGTTAGGAGATCAACACATAGTGTTTTGTACTACCAGGACTCCTTAGGATTGAAGTGTGTGTGTATGTTGGGGGGAGGGGGTTAGAGTTGAGGAGTAAATATGCATATGGTGCACATTCAGTCCAATGTTTTTGTTCTTGCACGGCACACATTTATGGAAGCAGAGACTAATATATAGGCATTAGGATTTATTTTATTTCTCTCCCCAGTGATTATATTGATAGTGAAGTATCTTTGTCTGAGCACTTCAGCAATATAGCTGTAGGCGCCATAAAAATGCATAGATAGATGGCTACCAGTTCAATTAAGAGGTCTTAACCCAGCTTCCTATATGCAAACCCTGTCTATTTTAGGTTTAAGTTTCTGCTCATAAATTTTTTAAAAACCAAGATAAACATTGCATTTCAAGCATGGTTGAAGTTTAAGCTTCCTTTAAAAGCAGATCTCCATATGGGAAAGAAAAAAACCAAAACAAAAAACCCCAAACTCCAGCAAAACAACAATAACCCTGATGTACTTCCTCACAATAGCATTTCCAACTCCGTTATTTAAATACTTTCTAAATAATATTCCCTTCATCATAGCATACCAATATGATGGCTTACAATAAGGGAATCAGAGAAATTCAGTTACATGGAGGATTCAGATAGAAGACGGTCTTCTAGTTATATTTATTTGAGTTTGTTGTTGTTGTATATTACTGTTATGGGAGCTCTGGTGGCTTAGTGGTAAAAAACTGTACTACCATCATGAAGGCAAGCAGTTCAGATCTGCCAGCTGTCCCACTGGAGAAAGATGAACAGTCTTCTGTGGGATTTACAGCCTCTGAAAAGCTCCAGAGGGTGAGCTATGAGTTACTTAGAACTTGAGGGTACATTATGACAACACCAGCAAATACAGTTACTGTCGAGTTGGAGCTGACTTACAGCTCCTCTTCCAGAGGGTTTTTAGAGGCTGTAAAATGTGCAGTAGAGTGCCTGTCTTTCTCTTGCAGAGCTGCTGGTGGATTCAGACTGCCTACCTTTAGGTAGAAAGCACAACTCCTTACCCATTTGGTGTTGTTTTATAAGGCCTCCAATTATTTCAGATATTAGAAATCAACTTTGAGAGAAAAATAGGCAATCTCTTTTCATGTGGTTTATGATGTTGGAAACCCAGTGCAAGTTTAGTGATGAGTTAACATCAACAAGTGTGAAACTTTAGGTTGAAATCAGAGAAGACTTAACAGTATTTAATTTTTGCTTTGTTCCTGAAGAATATAAAATACCAGAAGGTATTGTCTGGTGGGGTTTTTTTCCTAAACACTTCATAATAATTGCATGTTTTGTCATTCTTTACTTCTTCAAAAGGAGTGTTCTGGGGTTCTGTTTTATAGGGGAGGAAGATTGAAGTTAAAAAAAGGACAAGCAAACACCCAACCCAATAAACAGAAACAACCAAAAAAAAATCCCTCAAAATTCCAACAACAACCTGTTGGTGTCAACTCTTCTGATTTGTAGTGACCCTCCATTGAGTTCTCAAAGCAGTAACTCTTTATGGGAGGAAAATGCATTCTCTTTCTCCCTTGGAATGAATGGTAGATTTGGACCATCAGCCTTTACGTTAGGAGACCAACACATAGGACTTATGGTTATAACAGGAATCCAGAATTAAGGTTGCATAGTGGAGTGCATTTGGGGTGGGGTGGGGGTGGGGGATTGTATATCAATGAAGGAGTTTATCTTTTGCTTTTCAAAGAGCGAACTGGGGGGAAGGTAGAGAAAAAAGTGCAACAATGAATGAATGGAAATCCAAAATCTCTGTAAATGTTCATAAAAGTTAATACAATAAAATTTAAAAAAAGATTGCATTTCTCAACAGCAGTGAGTTGAGAAATCAACTACATAGGTGATAATTATCCTCGAAGTATAAAGCAAAAAACGATCGATCTTGGCTTCTTACAAAAATCTATCAAGTATACAAAAAGAGGAAAGTAAATGAATTACTAACCTATGGCAAATGCTTAAGAAAAGTGTTCTTTCATTTGTATCAATTACATTTAGGCAGACTAATTTGTAACTCTGGTCTTCTGATTGCCTTCATATTTAACAGTGCTGGATGGCTGGGTCATCTTTGCAATGGAATAGCAATAGTTCTCGGTAGTTTTGTTTCTAGTAGGTGCAAATAAACAATGGCGTTAAACAGCCTAGGGAAGAAAAGTTTTTGGATCATTTAAGTTGTCTTCTAGATCTTGGCTTTATTGGAATAGCTTATTCTAGCATGCAGTTCTCTGGTGTAAAACAGTGACTCCAGCTTTTGAATAACACTGGAGAAATGAAATTCTGTGTTCAGTTTGGCTAGAAACCTTTTCTAGTGTGAGTTTTCACGAAAGCGGAGCGGCCCCTTGCAGACCAGCTCTGAGGTTTTTTATGTGGCTTTGTTGTTTGCTACTTATTTTCCTGCTGTTTGGAATTTTAATCTTAATTTTATTTTCTTGCTGCTCTTGTTTTGTGTAACCATTTATATTTCTATAAAGATTAGCTTGTAATCCAAATGTAAAAGTAAAAATAACAAAGAAATCCACTTTGGGATTAAAAAAATAAGATACATATGTCTCCCCCCATTATTCTTCTTGCTTTAATATTAATGGATTAATGTCATATGAGAATAATTGGCCCAGTGTATCTAAATTAGGTGAGAAAAAAATGTTTTCCTCATTTGTTCATGGAGAAGTGATTAATCAAAAAGATAGCACAAGTGAAAGTCAGATATTGGTGAAGCTAGCGTACTAAAACTTAGGCTGGGTAGGATTTGTTCAGATTAAATGTTCTATTTGGCAAAATCTTAGTGTCTGTTTGGTGTGTGGTCAGGAAAATGTTTAACTACCTCAGTATCAAAATGAGATCACATTTCACTTTAAATTGAGGTATGGATATTAAGAGCTTAAAAATTCCTACAATAAAAAGCAATATAGCTTTGTCTTTTCCCCCCAAAACTTGTTGAATTCTCAGAATCCTTAATTTATAATTTTAGTGGTAAGACTTGTATTTTTCTTTAAGAAAATAGAAGATAATTATGGCATAAGTTTTTATTGGGCTTTGAAGGAGGTATTTATAGGGTTAAAATGGAAAAAGAATGCAGTATAAATTTGCATGCATGTCAATATTTAGTACAGATATTAGATATAATTCTGTAGCTTCTTAAGGATTGAGCTAAGGATATTTGGTATATGATACTTTTTATTTATGCCTTCACAATGTAATTGTTAGAAAGGGATAAAAGCTATCACTTTACCAGACTTAAATGAAAATTCACCTTCTCACAGTTTTGTTCTTCGAACGTTTGAATCCATACAGAATTGCTGCTCTAGATACCAGGTAAACATTATATGGAAATTTAAAAACACATGTATCCCTTTTTTGTACATTCCTGTAATAAACATCTTAATTTGCTTAAAAGCTGAGAACCACTCTAAACTAGTAAATTAGCAATTTTAGACCTGAGGTCATTAGTGCCATTTCTTTCGTCAATTTTTCCAAGAAAGAGAATGTTGATATAATAACTCTGTTGCAATAGAAGTAATATTTTCAATTTAATCAGGGTTAGGTGTCATGACTTTTTGATCTTGCTTTGAACTTCTTTCAGAAATGTGGTTAAATTTTAGACAGCTTATTCTGGCCCTGTGAAGTCAAGGAAAGGGCAGGATCACAGCTCTCTTTAGATACAATGTTTAAAATTTAAAAAAATCATTTGTTGCAAAATAATGTATAGGACTTCAAGTCTCAGAAATTGCATTCTGTCAAAATTTTCTCAACATTTTGCCTGATTTTTCTTTTTCCCTTAAAAAAAACCCACACCCACTCTTGCTTCTAATTCTGTAAATTTCTTTTGATCTAATTTTTTATCTAATTCTCAAGTTAAATATTACTTCATATTGTATTTTACCACTCAGAGATGAAATTAATTGAGTGAGTTTTTTAGTTAGGAAATATGATTATCCTTTTGACTTATAGAAATTAGTTTAGTTCTATAAAAGTGTGCAGAAACCTGTTTGGGCACACAAGCCGCTTTCAGATCTCTCAAACTGATCAATATCGAACAAGCAAACTCACTAAAGATCCCAGCTTACAAAGTAGGTAAACTTCTACTTTTATAATACAGACTTTTCAAGTAATTTCCAATAAGGACACTGGACCCTGAGAACGCTAGTGTTTAATTGCGTAGGTTGGTGGAGAGCCGGGCACTGTTTCTTTCATTCTGTGGTAGGTAGGGTCGGGGTGAGTCAGAAGGAACTCAGTGACACCTAACAGCAGCCACAGTACTTAATAGGGTGAGTCTGCACAGTCTATTGCTGGAATACAGAGCTAAATATCAACAGAACTTGTTACTGTTGTTGGGGTTGCTTTTATATACCAGCTTCAAAATATGTTTTGACACTTTATTATGTTCCGAATCAAGCTTCAGATGTGTGTAATGAAGGATGAAGTCTTTATCAGCTTCTAGTGTATAAATAATGGCAGAGAGCAGTTTGGAAAGGGTCTCTCCTTGAGAGGATGGTTTCTAAAGAGCTTCTAGTTATGAGCTGGCCCAGATCAAGTGCCACTGGAGTTGTAAACAGAATCCTTTGTCAAGGCACAGCTGCCGCTTTCCACTTTTCTTTTCTCTGTCCATCTTTCTTGCTTTCTTTCCTTTATCATGTCATTTCTTCTGTTAACCTTCTCTTTCCTGGTTTGAATGCCGAACTTTTTTTGAGGAAGTCTGGCACCTCAGATCCACTTTCACTCACAGACCCTGTAATTTTTGGCTGTATTTTTTTTATGTTTTTCAGATTCAAGTCAATCTGAAAGTCCCAGCCAGCCAAGTGACACTGACATTAAGGACCAGCCAGAAAATGGTAAGTTTAGCTTGGGACTCCTGGCTGCTGCATGGCAATTTCACAGCAGCCAGCAGCCAGCCAAGTGCCAGCATTTGGGGTCTGCCCAGCATGGGGTGCCCACTGCAGGGGACAATTTGGAAAGCTCAAGGGGGAAAACTCAACTTGATTTCTTTTTTGGAAGACAGTGTCTTCTTTCTCTTCATCACTCTAGCAGCCCCCAGCCCTTTTAATCTCCCTAAATCATATCATGATACTTACATATGAACATCTTCACTCCCAAGAACTTTGATTATGACTTAAACTCTGAGACATGGAATTGGTTTGCCCTCCTTTTACAGAAGCTTTTGCAAAATGAGAGATGAGCTTTGATTTTTCATTTCTTTGTAGTCCTTTTTTAAAGTGGCAGAGGTCTAACATTCTTCTTCACTAGACACTTAAGAGCGTTCATTGGGGAATATTTCTGAGGCATTTTAGGAGTCCAGCTCTGCTTTAAGAAAACAATTTTTCCTTAAAAAGGTTTCCCACATGAAATCATTTAAAATAGTGAGGATGATTGGCAGTATTATCTCTCAGTTGCATAAATATACAAACTTCCTGCTACAGAAATCCTATTAAGATGGAATGCATATTTTATATATGAACACAATAACTAGTATAAAATACTGATTTTGTGGTATGCACTGTAGGTATGAAGAAGATTGTAGTGGCTTAAACAGTAAATTGAATAAAATAATCATTCCAATAAAAACAGAAGAGAACTAGTGTTACCAGTCGGGCAGCAAACACTGTATCAGGGCCTTTTGCAGATATTATCTCATGTATCTCTATCTTATAAGGTTCTCATAAAACCCTTTTGGGCATAGAAACAAAAGCCCTGATGGGAAGACTTGTCTGTGACATAGGTAGGTGCATGTGAGACGATTAGAGCACTGTGGCTAAAAGCTAATACTGTGGTATCAGATCTGTGTTCAAATTCTGTATCATTTGTTCTTACCTTTAGGAAGGATATTTCATCGCTCTCTAAATGGATTTATCATCTTCAAAAATGAGATATTAATATTTTAAGTTGTTAGAGAATGAAGTGATGTAGATACCAGACATATTGTAGTATTTTCCACATTATATATTTTTTTAAATATTGGCTTCTACTTAGTAGGACTTATTTTTGTCACTTTAAATGTATTGTACTTTTTTCCTCCATCCATTTTAAATAATCTTTATCAGTTCTCTCTTCCTTGTATCTGTTCATTATTTGATTGTGATATCCATCTGATCTTTTGTAATACCTTAATAAATTATGTCAAATATCAGTACCAAATTAAAATTCTTATTTCTAGTAGTTTAGAATTTGTTTTGGAAGCTTGGAAGCTTCTTTATTACATTGTCAGACTGTAGCATAAAATATGAACTATATATATGGTTATTCCACTGTCATTCTGTTATATAGTGAGAAATATATTATGTAATATATAACTTAATTAATACAATAGTTTATTAATATATATTAATTTATAACTATATGCATATAAACTTACATACGTTTATTTATAACTTATAAACGTATGTAAGTTTATATATACATATATGCATAGACTTGTAAATTTCTGAAGAAGACCTTTACAAAGAGACACACAGAGAGAGAATGATCTCTGAGACTTTGTTGTTAGGGTTATAAGCAGTCACTTCTTATTTTTTTATCAGTATTTTAAAAGAGTGATATCTAGATCCTGGCTTAATGCTGTATTTTCCACTTGGCCCTATTGGTGAAGCAGGAAGAGTTTTGATCTTTTCCTGTTTACATATACTCCTCCAAAAACATGTCCTTTTTATTTATTTGCATTTTAAGGGTCTGTGGGCTGCAGGGGAGTGTGGTTCACGTATTTCGGTTTGGTCACCACTCGAGCAGGCCTGTGATTCATCTGTCTTCATAAAATGGCTGACAAGCTGTTCACATGCAAATATAAATTGAAGCATGAGAGGCCTGGCATGGCTCTCTGGAGCTGCCTGCAATACCGATATTGTGCATTGCCTATTATTGCTTCCAAAAAAGCATCCAAGACTGAGCCTGGGTCGTATAGCCAAAAGCTTGAAGATAACAACTAGGTCTTCTTTTAAAAGCTTAACTTATTCAGTGCTACATGTTGGTGCAATCATGCAATTTCAAAGAAATAAAAAAGTATTAATATCTAAGAGGAAAATGCAATCCCTACATTTAAAATTGCCACTTAGTTAAAAGAAAAGTTAGCACCTGCTTTTTCTTAGCCCTAGTTGATGCTCGGAGTAGAGAAACTTCAGCCCACTTTCAGATTCCTTTGTCTGATTCCTTTCGTGGTTCTCAGATGAAGTTCCTGGAGAGAAAATTCTTTTGTCTGTTTTCTAAAAATATACAATCCTAAAAGGGAAATACATGACAATTTCAAAATATGTTCATGGAGTAAACACCTTTTCACTTCATGGCATTGCCTTTATAGAGAGTAGCCATTTTTGGGGTGTGTGTGTTTGTGAGCCCAAGTTACAGAAATAAGTTTCTCTTCATATTCTTGGTTTGTAAAGAATAAACTCTCATGAGCTTACCAACCAAGTTCTAAGAACTTTTGGAATCTTGATAGATGAGGAAACGACAGATACTGGTTTTCAGCTAAAGCAGGGACTCCTTTATGGAAAATATTCTTTCTCTTTTAGCTCTTAAGGAGAAAAATAGTGGGAAATGAATGCTATATTCCAAGTATCCCATGAAGAATAACTAGACACATGGTAATATGCTGTGTTACCCAGAACTATAAACCAATCTGTGTAACTTTTCCTAAAGTGGATGCAGCTCTTTCTTGACTATGCAACTAGTCTCCTCCCTCCCCCAGAGAAGTTTTTACTTGCTTTTTTTTCCTACTCCCTTAAGAATCAACTGTAAGAAACTAATCTTTGTCCAATTAGAATATTAGGTGTGGATTTTGAAGGAATTACCAGAATCTCAGAGAGAAAGTATTAGAATCTTTGAAATTCAATTAATAGTTAAAAATTCTGCCTCTGGGTTCAAAGAGACTAGGAGTCAAATGAAATATACCTGGTGGCTTTGAGCAACATATGGCCTCCAACTTCAGTTTCTTTATCAGTAAAATAGAAATGACAATATATCCTACTTCATGAATATGAAAATTGACGTGTACATATGCAATAGCACAACCAATTCAAAACACACAAAGGGAATGAATCATTGCTAATCCCTATTTAAAGCTGATCATCTGATCATATCTATAATAATTCAGGAGGGACTTGAGAACATTATCCTGAGTGAACTAACTCAGTCCCACAAGGACAAATACTGTATAAAACCATTATTTTAGAATGAGTATAAGGATCCAAGTGGGGGGTGGGGTGGAAGCAGAGAGGTGGGGATGGGCGGGGAATGGGGTATTAATCACAGGATCACACAATTTGATGTTTAGGGGGGCAAAGGAAATGGGAAAGAGTTTGTGTGAAAAACAGTGTGTTTAAACTCTGTAAATAAATCAGTATAAAAATAAATAAAAAATAAAACTCAGCAAAGGGGGGGAAAGCTGACCATATCTAAAATAAGTGCACATATTTGAGAGGTTAAAAGCTGGGAAACTAGGAGTGTCAGGGCATAGTGTCAGAAGTAAACTCCTTAAGAGTTTAAGCGGTATCTCTTACAGATAATTGTTCTACAGAATGTGAGGTCTCCTTAATACTATCCACAATTGCCAGAGTGCCATATTTGTTTATTGTTTAGCTCTGTCCTCAGATTCTGTTCACCTGTGAATTTAAGAAACAAGAAACTGTAAAAATGAGTCACAATTAGTATGACTTATGGGTTCAGCACCATGTTTTTTGAGGCTCCACACCACCCGCCAATTGAGATGAGTGTAGTTGATAAATTCTATAGTTCTTTGTATACAGAATTTTTGTTCCATCACTTGGCTTTTTTAAGTAGGGATATCAGAATAAAAGAAATTTTTTTCTTAATTCTGGCAAAAGATTAAAAAGGACTCCTAGATGTCTTTAATTTTAACTGAGTTTGTTCTAGGAAAAACCAAATGGAATCTGGTTTATTAAAATCCATAAACTGATTAAGGGTAGGGCTCATGGCAACTTCCCTTTTAAAAACTCTTGCACAGCATATAGCTCGTTACTTGGAACTTCACAGTTACCCAGTGCCTCTTTGCTTAATGACTAAACTTAAAAATAGATGAGTATGCTGTCATTATCTTCAAATATGTTTTCAGTACCTGCTTACTGCTGAGTTGCTAAAAAATTGGAGGATGGGGGTGGGTTATTTATTGTTTTAAGGAAAAGACCCAAAGACATTGTGGACTGTGTGTGCTGTTTACCAAAGGAAATACTATCCAGACAAAATTCTTACCTCCAACTGGTATCATCCACTTAATCCTTTTGCATATTGCTGAAACCCCCTCAATGACTTTTAAGAGCCCGTGAAACTTTCCAGGCAGGGACTTTGGCACAGGACATCTATTCAAACCACCTTTGTGAATGTTCGTGATGGACCATGGTTAGTGCTAAAAGTACCTGGGAGACAGGCTATTAGAAGCACCTGCTTGATATTTATACAACGTGTGAGCAGCATTGGGTCAGTCATTATTGAGAGAAAACTCATGTGATAAACCTACTACGTAACCAAGACGTGCTTCTGCGGGGCTGTGTTACATTAGGGTCTGAGACAAGCACATTCCCTGCTGGGACTCCCTGTTATCAGTGAGAGCACCCTTCACCAAAAAAGGAAGAGTGGGGTTCCCTGCCAAAAGAAGGAATAGCTATGCTCATGTATTGTTTCTTCCTCTTTTATTTACTATCTCTGCCCACCTACCCAGCCTGCTAAAGAGAAATTAATTTAAAATAGTTTCTAAATTGTAACAAGGAATTCAGAGTTAGTTTTTAGGCAATTTTTTGGGCTTAATAATTTTGTTCTTCCTCATTTATCTGGTAGTGGCACATATGTTGGTGGTATCAACACTCAGATGGGGCCATTGCAATCAGTGGAAGGC